CTCCTCCGACGTGGTCTGCCCCGCCTTGCGTATCAGGTCCTCCATCTCGAGAATATTCCCGGTGCTGAGGACGACCCTTCGAGGCTGAGAAGAAGACATCCTCCTGGCGAGAGCTGCGGGAGGAGAGAGAGAGAGAGAGAGAGAGCGACGACGACACACACCTTCCTCCGCCGCGGTCCCTTCCGCACTGGCCCCCCCGCGCCCAGTGTTGCCAGGGGGAGTCGAGCGCTACGCGGGCCTCGGGGTATTGACGCGGGCGAGCGAGAAATAGCTAGATTTGAGCGGAAAATTGATGGATTTTTGTGGGTCGACTTTTCTTTCTTTTTTTTGGGGGGGTGGGGGGGGGGGGAGGAGTAGTGAAGAAATTACTAGATGTTTATGGGTCTACAGTTTTTTTTTTTCTTTTTTTTGAGAGGATAGGTGGATCGGAATGTCTATGAATGTGTGATGAGATGAATTCTTCACATTACGGTAGATTTAAGTAGGTGTACGTGGTTTGGATTTTTTTTTCTAGTGTGTCTTATTAGTAATGTCGTTGACTTTCTGAAACACGAGGCGATGAAAAAAAATGCAATGTGGATACATATAGATTGTCTTCCCTTTTCAGTTGGCCGGTCTTCAAGACCAGGACCACGTGACCACTCCTATCAAAATGTTTGGAAACCATGACACTTTCGTCGGAATGCCAAACGTTATCTCATGCGCACACACGATGAAAAATAGATTGAAACTAACAGCGTTGTCTACTGGCGCGTCCCGTAACGAGAATTAGACACGTGTAAAGTTTGTTCTTCGAAAGAGAAGTAAGGATAATGAAAAGTCAGAATACCAGGATTGCAATCATTATATGATAGCAGTTGCAAATGTTAATTTCATCGTGTTGATACAAAAATGCGCTAACATAACATGTGCAGTAAATGTATATTGTTGACCAACATAACAGCATTTATTTTGTCAGCCAATAAGAACCTCGCTAAATACATCTTTTAAGCTATTAAAACGAAAACCATCTAGCTCCATTAGACCAAAAAATGCCCGATAAAAAGAGAAATCCGCTAAACTGGCCACACTGCTCGCTCCTCCTCCTCCTCCGTCTGGTGGAATGAGGCTTCGGAGTTTCGTCGCTCTGCGTGACGTCATAGACTGAAGCCTTGAACCACTAAATTGATTGGTGTTCTATTTCTCTTTAGATTTATCTTGAATTGTGTTAGATAAACTGCGGTGCCAATTTTGACCTATGTGAAAGACTGGTAGAGTCACAGATGTATTCGATTTCAAACAACGTGAATATCTCATTATGGAATACCATTCTGTTGTTCGGACTGCGGAGGTGTGCGAATAGTATTGGGCCCTGTATCACACGCTTTGTGACTCAAGTTTTTAGAGAAAATGTATCGCACTGCTGGAATGCCGATCTATATTACTGACCATTTCCACAAATTCCTAGAATACGTACCCAAATATGCCGAAATGAACCAAAATCAATACTTTTGTGCGACCTCACGATTACACGCATGATGCCAAGTTCTTTATATTTGTGACAGAGTATAATGGTATGGCATAATTCATCATGACAAACTCCAGTCAGTATTGATTAAATAGCGCAGGAGCAAGGTATTCATTATAATCAAAGTACGAGCCATTGCGGCCTTGCTTTTGTTATTTTGCTTGTTTGTTTGTTTGTTTAGTCGGGAAATCATGTCTAGCATATAAGAAGATATACGTGGGCCTTTTTATATGCTTGTTAATAAAACCTTTTAGATAGCAAAAGATATTCGCAGTCACGATTCAGCTGGTTAATTTCATAATCAAATTCACAGCTGATTATGATAGTCGGATAATGATGTTAAGGAATCAATAAGTAATAACGAAATCAATAAAATTGCAACGTATATATCTAAAAATATGGATACATATGAGTGTGTATATGTATACACACATACACATTATCACACACACACACACACACACACACATACACACACACACACACACACACACACACACACACACACACACACACACACACACACACACACACACACATATATATATATATATATATATATATATATATATATATATATATATGTTTGTGTGTGTGTGCGTGTACCTACATACATACATACATACATATATATATATATATATATATATATATATATATATATATATATATATATATATATATGCATATATGTGTGTATATATGTATATACATATATGTATATATATACATATATACATACACACACACACACACACACACACATATATGTATATATATATATATATATATGTATATATATATATATATATATATATATATATATATATATATATATATATATATCAGGAGTGAGTGAGTGTGTGTGTGTGTGTGTGTGTGTGTGTGTGTGTGTGTGTGTGTGTGTGTGTGTGTGTGTGTGTGTGTGTGTGTGTTTGTGTGTGTGTGTGTGTGTGTGTGAGTGTTGTAGCACCCACGCTCTACCTGTCTGCTTGCTCCTCCTGACGAAATATTCCCTCAAAATAGCGCAGCTTCTCGAAGATTTAATATCATCATGGGCAATGTAAAATGTGGCATGCATAGAACTATAAGTCACACACAATTTCGATCTTGAATCTAGTATGTCTGTCTGGTTATCCTTAGATCTAGCTAGTTCAAACCAGATCATGGACTAAAAATAATAAGAAATCAAAGTATTGGCTGCGCGGTCCATTTTTCATTTATGCATAGGCCTATATCAGTACCATTACCGAAGACAATACTGTCACTCTGTCTTGTTTACTTTAGAAAAAAAAACTCTAAATTATTTAATTAATTACTCAGGCATTCCGCATAGCAGAACAAAATAATTAATCTCTTGCTCTCCCAAGCCACTTAGTATTATTACAAAGAATCTTATTTTTAGTACTTGCGTACCCTGGGCATTCTCCTCTTGCCTTGATAAAAAAAAATCCATTGTCTTATTATCACGATGAATTAACAAGTTTGCTAATTATCTTTTAATCAGTACCATTAATTACTGTCATATGCACTGTACATTCGCGGCAACAGACAAAAAAAAAGTTTGACCTCATAATTCACGTAACTGCAAGGAAAGACTAAAAACAGTTATATAGAAAGGAAGAGGGACGTTTCAAGGTTACAAGGCCAGGGTCATGAATTGATTTTCGGTAAGTAACTCGTCACCACAGTCATCCTCATCATCAACATTTAACTCCATTTTCTTACGTTACACAATACATGGGGTCGTTCGGGAAAAAGAATACGGCTTACTGAATTGCAGGCTGTAACTGACCTCCCAACTTACACTGAACAGGCCTATATTCTGAGAGCAGTTCAGCCTGTGCATGTCTTCGTAACTAAAACACATATGTATATTTTTAATTTCCATAACTGGGCCTGAACAACGAACATACATCGCACATCATTACAAGTTACCGTTTCCGTTGGCGTTATGACTGGCCGCCATAATAAATTTCGATTCAGCTTAAATGACGCAGTTTCTCTTGCCTTGCTGTGTTTGTTTGTTGGTCTTTCTGTTCAGAGTGCCACGTAACAAGAGGATAATAAAGAGGATTCCATTTTATGCGTTAGCTTTCATTACTCGCCTTTATCCGCCTTGAAAAAATATATATATTCGAAAAATAAACATTCCATTAATGTTGTCTCGGCTGATTAGTTCGAAGTAAACTTTCAGTGAAAGGCTAAATAGAATGAAATAAAAAGAAATAAGAGTTTGCTCATTGTATATTAATGCAATTTTTCCCTATCTACAAAAAGATGGTCTGGTGTCTTTGTTGAGGACAGTCACACACAGCAATGCAAAGACCTCCGTGCTGAGCCAAGTGCTGACTCGCAAACATCTCGTCTCGTGTGTCATGATGAAGGAACTTTGCCGTATCAATGGACAGAGAACTATGTGGTGTTTGTAGGCCGGTCGGGTGATGCATCATAGCATTAATAGTGTAATTCTAATATGTATGTGTGTATCGGTGTCTGTATATGCAACGTACTAATATCAGGGTGATATATAATGCATATTCTGAGTATCATCTAGCGCTGTTGTATATTGAAGAGCATTTGTGAATTAAGAGCATTACGCTCTCTCTTTTTCTCTGTTTCCTCCCCCCCCCCTCTCTCTCTCTCTATATATATATATATCCCCCTCTCTCTCTCTCTCTCTCTCTCTCTCTCTCTCTCTCTCTCTCTCTCTCTCTCTCTCTCTCTCTCTCTCTCTCTCTCTCTCTCTCTCTCTCTATCCCTCTCTCTCTCTCTCTATCCCTCTCTCTTTCTCTCTCGCTCTCTCTCTCTCTCTCTCTCTCTCTCTCTCTCTCTCTCTCTCTCTCTCTCTCTCTCTCTCTCTCTCTCTCTCTCTCTCTCTCTCTCTTCTCTCTTCTCTCTCTCTCTCTCTCTCTCTCTCTCTCTCTCTCTCTCTCTCTCTCTCTCTCTCTCTCTCTCCCCCTCCCTCTCTCATCAAATAATTAACACTGATGAGCGTGAACATACTACATGTAATGTAACTCCTCGGTTGTTGTATGTCGTAATGCCCTCTATTTGTCTTAAATATAAGCCAGGACAGGACGGAATTAAGTTAAACATGACTTGCTCTGCACTTTGGAACACAAACTGCCCCTTTTTTTCAAGGCCAACAATTGTCAACAATCATACCAGCTGGTTGAGAAAGTTTCGCTTGTTCCTTGATGGGCTTTTGACAAGAAGAAAGGAAGAAAAATGCTGTGCTCTTATTAAGAAAGACATCTTGTATCCATCTCATCCACGCCTCTTCCATTGAAGAATGTTTGACACACACACTGTGTATGCGCGCGCATACACATTAATGAAAGCTATACGCTTTATAGTTAGATAGATAGATAGAGATATAGATATATAGATAGATAGATAGAGATAGATAGACAGATATAATTATATATAAATATTTATATATATATATATGTATATATATATAGATATATACCTATATATAGTATATATGTGTCTGTATGTATATATACGCCTGTGTGGGCGTGTGAATGTGCGCGCGCGCGCGTGTGTGTGCATGCATGTATGTATATAGCTGTACACTGCAAAAATGGATGGAGACAACGTACCGTAAGAAAAGAAGTGAAAAAAACATGCGATGTTTCTGTTCATTTAACTCGGACCATTATTACCTCGAAACACTGGGGCTCTACAAAC